TGCGTTTTTCCTTGGGGAAAACGCCATCTCAGTGTGGACGGGAGGCCAAAACGGAGAGAAAACAATGCGTTTTCAAACAAAAACGCATTAGTGTGGACATATCCCCAGAGCGAGCTTTAATAGGCCCCAACACGCAGCTGTGACCGTTTGTGTGTTTCAGGGCTCTAGACTAACTTTTTTTCTTAGGTGCACCAGCACAAAAGTTAGGTGCACCCAAATTTTCCAACCGCATCGCTTAACGCCACAGCTTTACATGTTCACCTTGTTTTTAATTGCTGTCCATACAAACAGTATCAATTTGTAAATGATTAACGAACAGTCTTCTCATCACAAAGTTCTTTATTTGGAGCACACTCTAGAGCATAGGTGTCAAACTCTGGCCCGCGGGCCAAATTTGGCCCGCAGCCTAATTACATTTGGCCCGCGAAGCCATACCAAATTACTATTAGAGCTGGCCTACTGGTATTATACAGCTAATATATGTTTGAGTCCATAAGAAAAGATTCATTCTTATATCTGGAGGAATAAATATATTTCAATAAATATTAACGTTAGCCCGCGACTTTGTTCCTGTTTTGAATTTTGGCCCACTGTGTATTTGAGTTTGACACCCCTGCTCTAGAGCCTTGTTGTTTGTTGCGGTTACCATGGTTGTGCATTTTCTGCATAGTTACTGGAGACCAAGTCAACCGACAGGACACAAACGCTGCTTCATTACATCAGCAACGTGGTGAGAGAGAAGTATCCTGCTGTGTCTCTGTTTTACAACGAGCTTCACTACGTGGACAAGGCTGCCGCAGGTGAGTCTGACAGCCAATCAGGACGCTGCGCTCCCTGCGAGATGCCTGTTTACCTGAGCTCGTTTACCTGTACTGTGCAGTGAGTCTGGAGAACGTGCTGAGTGATGTGAAGGAGCTCCAGCGCGGCATGGAGCTCACCTGGAGAGAGTTCAGCGTGTCGCACAACGCTACGCTCAAAGACTTCATCAGCAGGAACGAATCACGGCTCAGCAAACTGCAGGAGGACGCACGCATTGCTCAGGTGAGAAACACACGTACACCATGTGGTACCACGCAGCCATGATTCAGGTGCAATTCCTCCTGCAGAATCAGCTCAAACTGTGAACACCAAACAGCCGAGCACATAGGAGGAGTAGGAGAAGGAGAAGATGGAGGAGAAGAAGAGGAAGAAGAAGAAGGAGAAGACAAGGAAGGAGAAGAAGGGCGATCGTGGCTCAAGTTGGGTGTTCGTCTTGTAATCGGAAGGTTGCCGGTTCGAGCCCCAGCTCAGACAGTCTCGGTCGTTGTGTCATTGGGCAAGACACTTCACCTACCGCCTACTGGTGTTGGCCAGAGGGGCCGATGGTGCGATATGGCAGCCTCGCCTCTGTCAGTCTGCCCCAGGGCAGCTGTGGCTACAACTGTAGCTGCCTTCACCAGTGTATGAATGTGAGAGTGAATAAATAGTGGTATTGTAAAGCGCTTTGAGGTGTCCCGAAAAGCGCTATATTAATGCAATCCATTATTATTAATATTAGAAGAAGGAGAGGTAGAAGGAGAAGAAGAAGAAGTAGAAGGAGAAGGAGGAGAAGAAGACGAAGAAGGAGGAGAAGAGGTAGGAGAAGACGAAGAAGGAGAAGAAGAAGAGGTAGAAGGAGAAGAAGAGGGGTAAACCCACAACACTACCAACACTAAACCTGCAAGCTTTACACATGTTTCTAACTTGTTTCTTAATCAGTTTTATGTATTGTTAGTCTTTTTAAGGTATGAGAACAGGTAGACTGATGATAACCAGCTGCTCGTCTGTTTGTGTGTGTTGTGTGTGTGTGTGTGTGTGTGTGTGTGTGTGTGTGTGTGTGTGTGTGTGTGTGTGTGTGTGTAAACTTTAGGATGCCTTTGAAGATGCCGTGAAGTTTTTCGGAGAGAGTTCAAAGACGATGCCGCCGTCTGTCTTCTTCCCAATCTTTGTTCGTTTCATCAAAGCCTACAGGGTGGGTAACCTTTGTCTATAGACCATGCTCCCTCTCTGATAGTAGGCCTATATCAGTTGAGTTTAGTTTTGCATTAATATGTTTCTGTGTGTCTCCAGCTGGCTGAGGAGGAGAACGAGCAGAGGAGGCGTCAGGAGCAGATGTTGTTGGAGAAACTGGAACAGGAGGAGCAGCAGGAGGAGGAAGAGGAGACCAGGGTGAAACTTCATGACATAATCCATTACTTAGCTCCCATTATGTCAGCTGGATGTGACCTCCTGATGGAGGAGGAGCTTATGCTTGCACCTCCATGTTGAATTCCTACATTAAACCAAAATGTTTAGTTTTCAGGTATTTTTAAAATACCTCGGTTCTCTGAAAGTTTCTTTACATCTTTGTTTTTAAAAATAAAGCTGTCACAACTGAGAGTAAGGACTCAAGAGCAGAGCAGGTTGACGTTTCCAAACACAGTTTATTTACAACACCGGTGCACAATATATACAGTGAGGGGAAAATCCAGGCTCCAAGGGACCAAGGGGAAGCTCTCTCACACTCGCTCTCGTCTTCATGCCCAGCCTCACACACACGCACTGCAGGGAGGTCACAGGTACGGGAAGGAAAAGTCTGTAGTACAATCATCCAGCGACGAGAAGATCTGTGTCCCAGCCTCAAATAGTGGACAGGTGTGTGGGCCAAGGGCGGGAGCCCGCAGTGAGCTCCGCCCAGAAAGAGAGAGAGAGAGAGAAAGCAAAACAAACACATGTAGCCTTGCGGGGCCAGCTGGGCAGGCACGGAGACCATGACAGAAGCTCAGTAATTCTTTGTCCTCGCTGACATCATGATTTCAACAGTCTCTGATTGGTCAGGAGGCTCCAGGGGGTCAGATTTAGGTTTATTCAGATCACTAATCGATCGATCAGGTGACGTGTCGTGTCACAGCCTAACCCTAACCCTACTGAAGCCCCTCCCCCTCTCAGTCTCCGTCCCACAGAGGGAAGCGGCAGCAGCAGGAGCTGATCACGGAGCTCAGAAGGCGCCAAGGAAAAGACAGCCGCCATGTTTATGAGGGGAAGGACGGCACTATCGAGGATATCATAACAGGTAAACATGTTGCCAAGGCACGTGAGTGACCACAGCAGGCGTGTCAGCTGTCCTCTGATTGACTGTTTATTCGCTTATCTACAGCTCTGAAGACCGTCCCCTTCACGGCTCGGACTGCCAAACGCAGCTCTCGCTTCTTCTGTGACCCCGCCCACACCGAGGAGCACTACTGAGAAGTCACGAAGAGTGACAACGCCCACTTTTCATTGATGGGACCAATTAGCACTTTGAACTTTTCTGATCGCTCTAACTGATGACATCATGTTTTCTATGTTATTTTATTGGTTTCTTTGTGCATAGACTGGGCGCCCACACACCTGACCTCAGCTAAACCGGATCGATCGGAAGGATGCCCTGTCCTGCTGTGATTGGCTTTTTGGCTGTCAGCTGAACACTTCAGCAGGTGTTTTAAACACCTTTTGACTGAAGTCCAGCAGTGTGGCAGAACAATCAGGGGGCAGCGTCCCTCCAGCTGAACTGATATAGTCCTAATCATTGCCTTTCCTCCTCGCCACAGACATAAAATAACACTTGATTAGATCACATGACCTTCCCAGCAGATGTTACTCAGAGCACTTTACAGACTGAATCTGACCTTTGACCTCTCCTGACAAAGATCATGTGGTCTGTGGTCAGGTAGAATTCCACTTCCTGTAATCAGATCATGTGGCTCTGAACGCCGTTGGCGTGACAACCGAGAACCCGCGGTGCTAAAAACAAAGTTGTGCCTCGCCACAGACGATGCTGTAGAGCAGCATTTGGGTTTGGACTGGAACAAAGGTGCATACATGCCTTTTCACACCACGAGGGCTAACAAACATCCGAAGGGTCAGAGTGCATGGGCTTCTCCGGTCTGTTTCTTTAACTGTACAGGGTTCTACCTTCACTATATTCTACTGTGTTCTACTGTATCTACTGGCCTTACTGCAGGTACCAGAGCCTCACTGAAGTATCACTCTGTCTATCTGTGGCTCCGCCCCTTCTCCACCCTCCTGAGCCCACATCTGTCAGTTAGCCTGTTAACTTGCAGAGCCTCACCAGCCACAATATGCTGTTTTCCAGCTGTTCATGCACACACACCTGCAAAGCTGGTCACCCAAAGGTCACGACTCAGCGCTGCAATCTGGAGTGTGGCACTGAGGGGCCGCTGTAGCTGAAACACAAGGAGCTCCCACCTGTGGACCGGAATCCACCTGAGCAGGTTCACGACGACAGTGAAGTTGGCAGGTGGGGCTCTGTGCTCGACACACCTCGACTCCCACTGATGTTTCTGTAGTGTTTCTGCAGTCCCCGTTTCCTTTTAGAGGTCCAGTCTCAGACTGAAGCCCCTCCCCTTCTCTCCTCTTCATCATTTAGATTCAAAGACAAAAAAATGGCAGCACAACGTTTTCTACATGTACAGACATTTTCTAGATCACCGTGTAGCAATGCTTGTACGTGTCTGTGTTTGTGTTTGGTGGTGATTCTGCACTTGGTGTGTTAATAAAGCGCACCTTGTCAACATGATGCAGTGTGTTCTGTTTGACACTACATTACCCACAATCCCTCTGTTACTCAGGTTTTATTTCCAACAAAAAGCATCATTAATCTGTGTGATTGATGATTGTTAATCATGTATCAGTACACTGATTGACTGACAAGTAATCAGTAAACATGTTGATTAGTTCATCATGTTGATCTGTGCTGTGATTGGCAGTTAGAGTTCACTGATGGATCAGGTCTTCTCCTCCTGAAGTTCATCCGGAGAAAGCGTATGAAGGTCGACCTTTGACCCCGAGTCCTGTGACCTGTGCATGCACGCGCGCACGCGCACACACACACACACACACACACACACACACACACACACACACACGAGTCAGGGCAGTAGTGATGGGAATTCCGGCTCTTTTTGGAGAACTGGCTCTTTCGGCTCGGCTCACTAAAAACAGCCGGCTCTCTCGGCTCCCAACCGGCTCTTCAGGTTGTTTTGTTGCTTTAATTAGTGTGTGAATGTGTGTGTGAATGGGTGAATGACTGAATGTAGTGTGAAGCGCCTTGGGGTCCTTAGGGACTAGAAAAGCGCTATACAAATGCAGGCCATTTACCATTTTAATTAATTTTTTATCAACAACAATATAAAATTATGCACAAAAGAAATTACTAATGTAAAAAAAAAAAGTGGATTTATTTATATGTTTACATATGAATATATGCGGTGACCCCTAGAGACATAACCCCTAACCCTAACCACTAACCCTCCGCAAAGCCAGAACATCTTACTATTTGTCACTGATTGAAGAAAATAAGAACCCCAGGTTTCTCTTCAGCTCTGTAGCCAGGCTGACAAACAGTCAGAGCACTGTTGAGCCAACTATTAGTATACGTAGCATGCATTTTCACTGCTATGCAGATGACACCCAGCTCTATCTGTCCATGAAGCCAGATAACATACACCAATGAGTTAAACTGCAGGAATGTCTTAAAGACACAAAGACCTGGATGGCCGCTAACTTTCTGCTTCTTAATTCAGATAAACTGAGGTTATTGTACTCGGCCCTGAAAACTTAGAAATATGGTATCTAACCAGATTCTTACTCTGGATGGCATTACCTTGGCCTCCAGTAACAGCTGTGAGGAACCTTGGAGTCATTTTTGACCAGGACATGTCCTTCAAGCACATATTAAACAAATATGTAAGACTGCTTTCTTCCATTTGTGCAACATCTCTAAAGTTAGAAATATCCTGTCTCAGAGTGACGCTGAAAAACTAGTTCATGCATTTATTACTTCCAGGCTGGACGACTGTAATTCATTATTATCAGGAAGTCCTAAAAAACTCCTGAAAAGCCTTCAGCTGATCCAAAATGCTGCAGCAAGAGTCCTGACAGGGACTAGAAAGAGAGAGCAGATTTCTCCTGTTTTGGCTTCCCTTCATTGGCTTCCTGTTAAATCCAGAATTGAATTCAAAATCCTGCTCCTCACATACAAGGTCTTAAATAATCAGGCCCCATCTTATCTTAATGACCTTGTAGTACCATATCACCCTATTAGAGCACTTCGCTCTCGCTCTGCAGGCCTACTTGTTGTTCCTAGAGTATTTAAAAGTAGAATGGGAGGCAGAGCCTTCAGTTTTCAGGCCCCTCTTCTGTGGAACCAGCTTCCAGTTTGGATTCAGGAGACAGACACTATCTCTACTTTCAAGATTAGGCTTCAAACTTTCCTTTTTGCTAAAGCATATAGTTAGGGCTGGACCAGGTGACCCTGAATCCTCCCTTAGTTATGCTGCAATAGACATAGGCTGCCGGGGATTCCCATGATGCATTGAGTTTTTCCTTTCCCTATGTATTAACAGACCTCTCTGCATTGAATCATATCTGTTATTAACCTCTGTCTCTCTTCCACAGCATGTCTTTATCCTGTCTTCCTTCTCTCACCCCAACCGGTCGCAGCAGATGGCCCCGCCCCTCCCTGAGCCTGGTTCTGCCAGAGGTTTCTTCCTGTTAAAAGGGAGTTTTTCCTTCCCACTGTCGCCAAAGTGCTTGCTTGTAGGGGGTTGTCTGATTGTTGGGATATCTCTGTATTATTGCAGGGTCTTTACCTTACAATATTACACATGACCCAAGAAGTCTGAGCTCCAGTTTGGGTCAGTGACATAAAAGTTGAGTACGTCCATCTACTGTAAACAGTCTGAGAGCTCTTTGTGTTTCATCATCTTCTCACAGTCAAGTGTCAAAAGTTTATTAAAAGGGAACACAAGAGCTGCCAACTCACCCTGAAGGTGCTTCCAGCCAGGGGCTGCTGTTTGCTTTCAGACTGGTTGAGGCCAAGACTGGCCGAGGTCACGTAGAGCTCAGAGTAGTCTGGACCTCCGAAACAACACGAGGTGGTCTTCGTCACCGGCAGAGAGATCGTCTTCAGCCGCACACCTGTGAGTGTATGACAGGTACATCATCATCATCACCACCACTTTAAAATGACCGCACTTACAGAAACACCCAGAATCGGCAGAAACCAGGACTAATCATCAGAACCAGAACTAACCAGTAGCAGGGTCGATGTTGATGACCCGCCCTCCGTCGTAACAGGCCACCCACAGACGACCTTCAGCATCAAGAGTCATCCCATCGGGAATCCCTTCCCCCTCCTGAATGTGGCATACCACACGGCGATTACCTAGGAAACACGGCTATAAATACAGATGTACTACACCATAAGCACACACAATGTGCAGCATAAGTACACAGGTACCAATGTGTCCAGTGCTGGGGTCGTGGTCGAAGGCGTCGACAGTCAGAGCCAAACTGTCGATGTAGAAAAACGTCTTCTGATCCTCAGACCAGTCCATCCCATTAGAGATGTCCACCTGAGAGGCAGACAGGTGAGCCAGACAGGTACGGGTGAGCCAGACAGGTGAGACAGACGGGTGAGACAGACAGGCAGGTACAGTGAGACTGTACATTTATTTTACATGGTCAGGTATCACGTTAACGGGGCTCATTGACTGTCTTGTTTAATGAGCTGCCAACCTGGCTGATGTCATTAATACAGCCTAGGGCTGTGCGATATGACCAAAATCTCATATCCCGATATAAGACATTTATTGTCCTGACAACGATATAAATCACAAAAATGTAATATTTTCTGTAAATTCTGTTAATCTCGGGCAGCTTGACTTGTGTGAAGTTTTTCCAGCTGGGCGTCCTTTACCTGGATTCGAGTGTTTTTACTGATGCATGAAACTATACATTTTTAGACATTAGTTGTAACGGCCACCATTTTCTTTCAAAGTTTGAGTCTAAGGTTTATTTTTTAGCACCTGACGGCTCTTTTTTTTCTTCTCATCCGTAAACTCTCTGCATCTTTCACGTGATTCAGTTTATTTTGAAAAGTCTCAACAGGATCTTGAGCTTTATTGTGAAAGGTTTACGTGGAAAACAAACAAGCGGACAGCGGAGCCACGCGATGGTTTTACCGTCGTTGTTGCTAACGACAACACGTAAAAACAGGCGCTTGTCCGTCCGTAGTGTGGTTGTATTAAATATAAGAGAAAGAGAGAACTTTAAGAAATTAATAATAACTACAGTGACCATCAAAACCATGAATAAATATTGCCGTAAACAGTTTATTTTATGACACCACGAAACAAACAATAGCGTAATATGAAATGATAGATGTTTTTATATCGTCATCCGATATATATCGTTATATCGAACAGCCCTAATACAGCCACTTGATTAAGAACACCAACAGGATTATCTTAGTCAGTATCACAGGCAGGTTAAGTTACCTGGCTCAGGTGTTTGGTCACAGTGAGGTCAGGGGCTACAGAGAACAGAGCTCCTTGTTTCCTTTCCTCGGACGGGTAATCTTTTAACATCGTACCTAAAACACATCCCACTGTTACCATAGCAACAGAGAGACAGGCAGGTAAGACAGTAACCAGGTGTGCAGACTGACCCGTCAGCAGTCGTCCACTCGGATCAGCCTTCCCATCGTTCAGGCGGTTGTTCGGTTTGTCTTCATCGACCTCCACCAGTGATGTCACCTTGTGCGTCTGCCAATCAACAGCCACAATGTTGCGACCCACACCTGCAACGTACCCGCCTGACCTGCGAGGAACCGCGAAGCCCACTGTGTCAGCTGAGGGGAGAAGGACAGGTGAGACATGGTCAACATTCAGGTAAGCGTCAGACAGGTGAAAATGTTGATTGGCCCACCTGTCTCCACAGACTGGATGCGATTGGTCGCAGAACTCCATCGGTGGATTTTCTGCCCTATGATGTCAACAAACAGCAGGGTCTGCTCTGACTCCTCCCACACCGGCCCTTCACCAATCAGAGCGCTTGATTTCACTATGGGGTGCACCTTCACTGACGACATCTTTGGGGCCAATCACAGAGCAGGACACTGTAGCCATGGAAACAGCAGGTCAGTTGTTTTAAATCAAATCATGTACTGAACTCACCTGTACTACATGTACCTGTACTGTGTTAGTGAATCACCAATCAGCTGCTAGGAGAATCAACTAATCGCCTTATGAATGAGCAGCTGAGCAGGTGTCTTGTTGATTGGTGAAACAGGTCTGATGGGACATTCCCTGTACTGCTCAGAGGAACGTGGGCGAAGTATAACGGTCACCTGGACAACAGCGTGACGCTGACACGACCTTCGTGACCTCCACTCATAACAACAGGAAGTTCTGCTGACGGCGAGTCGGGCTAGACCCTGATCCCAGAATAAAAAACTTTCTGATGTCATTAACACACCTGGTGATGTCATAAACATGAGGGCAGCAGGCGAAACACAAACATTGACCTTATGAGTTGTACAGTCCAGATTGACACTGTGGAAATGCCCACAGGACAGCCGTTACCCCGACAATGACCCCGACCATGAGCTCTGTGCTGGGAGGTACTGCGGTCTTACATAAAGTAGTACTACTCATGTTCAGAAAGGAGTACTGCATCACGCAGTCTTATGTAACATGCAGCCTACATGACATGCAGTTTTTTTTATATTGATCTGTTGATTGATTATTAACTAACTGGTGAGTTAAACATTAAAGTGAGTGAGTCAGCTTTCTTTCATCTCTCAGACACTTTAAAGAGCCGCTGGTTCCCTGGTCACTCCACTTTATTGGTATTTATATTAAGAGAAAAAAAAGTGCAATACTGTATTAAATGCAAAAATTTATTGTACTGTTCAGTCTGTACTGCTGCTCATTCCTGCCACTGTGCAATATCCCATTTGCCCCCCCCCCCTCACATTCCTATATAAGATTTTCTTTATTCAATCACTAGTGTACATATATTTATATATACATATATATATTTAGTCTGTCAACTGTTAATCTTTTTTCTTTTACTATATTTTATTAACATTTTGCTCTTTACTATTTTTTCCACTGTACCATTCTGCTGAGTGACTGTCTTCTGCTCATCAAATACATTTCATTGCAATGTTGACCCTGTGCTAACTTGCATATGACAAATAAAACTGAAAACTGCTGTCTTTATTACCCCACAACAAATCAGCAGGAGTCTGATGAACCTGATAGCATTCTGGTCGTCACTTTGATGTCCCATAAAACCTCACAGGTTCAGGCATAACAACAGACGCTCACAGAGACAGGTGAAGGTGCAGGAGGACAGCAGGGACATGCCCCAAACTAGGACAGCCCACTGTGACCTCAACACTTTTCATCTGTTCTGTGGTGTCCCAGCAGGAGTGTGCCGTGATGGCTGCGCCTCCACACATGAGGGGAACCTCCTCAAGTTTCATGGCTCCGTGTCCTCCTCATCATGCTCCAGGCGCACAGACTGCTCTGGATCCGATCATTAAACATCTGCCACGGCAGTGACATGTGCGTGAGGATCGCGTGTCGGCCTCACCTGTCTCATCAACTACAGGTGAACTACGTGAATTTGACGTCGTTCGTCCCCGCACCAGGGGTGGATCTAGAAGGGTGGCATGGGGTGGCAAGTGCCACCCTAAAATGATCCCCTGCCACCCCAGTTTTGGATATGACAGTGTTGTTTACTAAAATAAGATAGCATTAACAGTTTGAGCGTAGTTACAGTCAACAGTCACTATAAATGCTAAAACTGAATATAAACCCGCCTCACCAGTAACAAATGGTTCAGCCCATAGCAGGACCGGCTTTTTTCTTGTTTTCAGTAGCAAGCGATGCTTATGATTGTGCCAGAGCACATTCTGAACAACACCATGGGAATTTCGCTTTTTACACAGGTGGGTGGATGTTACACTCTGGAAATGGAAGGAAGGTGAGTGTTATTAACCCTCTGTGGTCTACGGACACGCTGCACCTCCAAATCACATGACTGATGTAAGCTGACACAGCAACAAGCTGCAGCCATGCTGAGTTTCTATTTCAGCCCACATTGAAAATTCGGACTTCAAAGTTTTTAAATTTTAATTACAGGCCAGTAAATCCAGAGTTATGATAATATATATCAGCCACGCTTTTTTCTAAATACTGTCATCACATTTTTGTGTGTGTGTGTTTTAAGCGTTTTGTAAGGACAGCACGAAAACAGTAAAGAAAGGAAGAAAAGCCACCTCTCTCCTATCGGTGGAAAAAGTACCATGTCGGCCAATTTAAAAAAAGTCAACACGTGTGATTTGGTTGTTTAGGAAGAGGGAAAAGTTTTAGGAGTGACGGTAACGGCAGCGAGACAGAGCGAGAGAGAGGGAGAGAGTTTTTAGATATAGGAGATTTGTGACGTTTAGTGTGGAGTGTTTACTTAGTGTGTTGTGTAGTCGTCGTTTTGTTTTGTGTGTCAGTGAGGGCACTAATGAATGTCACAGAGGCACAATTGCAATGTAAACACCGTCACTAAGCAGAAAACCAGCGGAGTGATACACCTGCAGTTGTCAGGCCTGCAGGTTTCTCCCTGTGCTGTTCTCCTGTTTTTACTGACACACATCATTTGTGGGGCATCTTATTGCAACACCTGATTGTTCTCTCATTTTAGTTTTAGTAAGATTTTTAAATGGTTATACAAAATGAAAGAAACGGCAGGTGTATTGGCTGCATTTTTAGATAAATAGTTGTTTGTTTACAAAATGTAAAATTTATATTTGCATTTCAAGTTATAAAAATTTACTCAACATGTCTGTGGGTTTTTTTACAGTAAAAAAAATACTACTAGGATCTTAAGTTCTTTGTGTGATTTCAGATCAGTAATACTAATGCAGTATGTCAGTGAAAAAAACAACTAAATTCAGTTGAGCTGAAAAGATACCAAACAAGGCAAGGGGAAAAAAATACAAATGTAAACTCAAAAGGAGTCAAAATCGCCGGTTGTATTTCAGACCTCAGTGAGTTAATCCAACAAATCATGAAAAATTAGGTTTACATGTTTGTTCATGACAGTGCAGATTTCTGACATTTTGTGTAATTTAAGCTGTAACAATGTGACTGTATTCTAACAAAAAACAGTGAAACTCAAGTTAGACCTGTGTTTGTAAATAGACCGCCTCATGTTGTGTAGCTTTCAGGATTTTATACTTATTGGGCTACATACTTATTTATTATACAGGCTATACAGTACATATAATCAAAACTCACATGTTTTATGTAACTAAAGTGTGTAATTATGTGGGCTACAGACAATAATTAAGTTATAGACTATATTTATATGAAAAACGTGCATACTTACTGCATTTGAATTATTCTAACCATATGTAACCACCTGCATATGTGTTTGAAAAAAAAAAAGGCTTTGATTTTGCCACCCCATTTGATTTCTTTGCCACCCTCATGCCACCCTAAGAAAGTTTCTCTAGATCCGCCCCTGCCCCGCACGGCTCGTGCACGTCTTCATTGAGGTGAACGACCGTGTTACAGTGAGGAGCTGAGCCCTGGCAAGCCAAAATTCAGATTCTCACGGAGTCCCGTGAAGTTTGGAGCAAACACTAATGCCGAATTAAAAACAGATTCGCTTTCATCCGGAAACACCAAACTTTTACCTCGCGAGCCTCCGGAAAAGCACGCGACACTAAAAATCAGCACATTTTTAGACGGAGTTTGGTTCGGTGTAAAGAAGTTAAGTTTGTAGCTTTCTGGAGCGCTACCATGTACTCAGTACACATAAACACAACTGAACCGGCACCCACTTACCTGCTGCAGTACCAGACGCAGTACTCTGAAGTGCTCTCCGTGTGTGCACACTGACCCAGTCTCGCAGCTCCGCCCCTCCCAGCGGAGCACCCCCTGTCGCTACCCGATCTTTTTTTTAAACTTTATTGAGAAACAGTATACAGAACATGTATACAAACAGAACAAAATTAACATATGCCAGGGGGTGTAATACAAAGAATTACATACATTCAAATAATTTGTAATTACTACAAATAGTAATAGTTTTCATAGCCTTCTTGTTAAGTGATCCATGAATCAATTTTATGTAACATAAAACATCATTATAGTAATGTTTAAAACTAGCCTTTTGGTTACTGTATTTGCATTTGTGAAAATAAAATTTAGCTAAGATAACTAACAAGTTTATTATAAAGTAAACATCATCTTTTTTTTTTGCCTTCAAAAGAAACAAAATACAACATTTTCCAGTTTCACAGTAAAGTCTTTATAGAGATGTCCAGCAATGAATCTACTGAAGTCTTTCCAAAATGTTCTAGTGCATGAACAGATCCAGAAGGGGTGCTGCACAGTCTCAGGATGGCTTCCACAAAATCCACAGCTCACATTTATGTCCCTTTTGAAGTTTGTCATATAATGATTAGCAGAATAAAATTTATGCAGTATTTTAAATGAAACTTCTTTTACTTTATTCGTTACCAGATACTTGTTAGGAATTGTCCATAGTCTTTTCCAGTTAATGTCACTGACAAAGGAGAACAGTTAGAGATTCTGTCTGGAACAAAGCACGGATATTCTTATTGGCGCCGCCATTGCGTGCAATAGGTCGGCAGCCTTAACATGAAATTTCCCACTCGTGGGACTAATCTTATTTTATTACCTTTACTATGGTTTTTTAAACAGATTCTTCCTATGGGTGTATCCACAGGGTTGGGGAGAGAAACAGATGATATACAAGGTTGAATACCTTTAAAAAACATTATAATACCCGTAGGTATTGCATCAAATAATATGGCATATTCTTTGGGTGTGGCTGAAAATTTATAAGTGTTTAAGAATTCTGAATAAGACATAAGCTGCCCATTAGGATTAAACAGCTGATTTACTAAAACAATCTGTTTCTCAACCCACCTAGAAAAAAATTAATGATTTATTTTTATGCACTATGTTCCTATTATTCCAAATTAAATACGTATGGGGTGTAAAGTTGTGTTTATATATAAGGGACCAAGCTAATAGAACTTGCTTGTGAAACATCGAAAGGTTTTCTGGAAGCTTATCTATATTATAATCACAACCTAAGATAAAACTTAGACCACCAAACTTAGAGAAAATGTAGTGAGGAATAAAATTCCAAATGGATACCGGATTTTTCAGAAAATGTTTAGCCCAATTAATCTTAAATGTATTGTTTAGAGTAGTAAAATCCAAAATACTGAGACCACCGTGTTCATAGTCATTCATCAATACACTTTTTCTGATGTAATGTGTCCCATTTTTCCAGAGGAAAATGAAGAGCATTCGGTCCTTACAAGTTTTGCCGTCCACATGCAGAGAAATTGCTGCACAAGTCAGTCGAGACAGACCTTCTGCTTTTCAGATACCCTTCCTCTTAAACTTAAATGTCTCTGCAACCACTGATTTAATTTGGTTTGAGATTTTTTAATAATTGGGGGAAAATTTAGTGAAATTCTGTCTTTTTGATCTTTGCAGATAATCAGACCTAAATATGTTGCTTCATTTTTAACTGCTATATTACAAAGACTCTGAACATTACACTCTTTGACAGGTAATAATTGACATTTAAGTTTAACATCAATCCAGACCCTTTTGAGAAATCCTCTATTACATGTAAAGCAATTGGCACTTGGCTGGCATATTTAAGAAAAATTGTGGTATCATCTGCCAATTGACTGATGACAATCTCTCTGTCTGCTATATTTATACCTTTCACAGTGCTATTCGAAATATGAGAGGCAAGAATTTGGGTGCAAAGAAAAAAAATATAAGGGCTAATCGGGCATCCCTGACGTACCCCTCGATTAAGACTAAAACGAGAAGCGGTGCCATTTTTCATTCTAATAGAACTATTTGCATTGGAATACAGAGTTTTGATAGCTTTGCAGAAGATATCACCAAAACCAAATTTCTGAAGTGTAAGAAATACAAATTCATGCTCAATTGAGTCAAAGGCTTTATAGAAGACTAGGATTAGGATAAATGAGTCATCAGATATTAATGCTGAGTAGTCCAGAATATCCAAGACGAGTCTATTGGAGATGTGCCTGTTTGTCATAAGACTGTGTCTCATCTACAATATCATCCAAAATATATTTAATTCTTCTAGCTAGCAATAGAGCTAATATTTTATAATCATTATTTAGTAGCGTTTTACGATAGTTACAGGTCAGAGTATCTGTTAAGATGTTAAGAATAATAAGTATCTCTTAAAATGTTTGCAATAATGAAGCATTTCAATATAATGTAGACAAAAACGAAAAATAAAAAGATAGTTACGGATCAGGACTCCCCGATCCTTACTGCGCATGTGCAAAGTCGGACCGTACAAATCGGGTCTACCCAATCCGTACTGCACATGTGGAGATTTTTTCTTCTTCTGTTTCATTTAACGGCAGTTTACTCCCCAGTGCACGAGGATACCGCCACCTGCTGACCGAGCGAACCGTATTGTAAACTGAAGTAAACCGAATTACAAATGCATGTTTAATTTGATTTAGTGATAGTCAAGTGTGTTTATGCTTGTCTGTGCGAAGATGTCCACTATCACTGCCAATTGTCAGTAAACACTTAATCTGGCTGATGAATCTTCATGTGACATATTGCTAAGTTAGTATTATTAAGTAAGATTTGCGCATGTGTGGTACCGATCGAGTTTCCGGTACGGATTGGGTAGTGACACCCACACCCGGAGAAAGTTTAATCCGATCTTTAAGTGATGACGTGACAAATCCTGCTTCCGGGCCAAAGTAGTCTGCGTTTAATATGGCTTTTGTGTTGTTAACATGTTTAATGTTTTGTATCTTCTTCTATTTAATTTCAAAAAGCCCCTAAAAATAATAATAATAATAATAATAATAATAATAATGGATTGGATTTATATAGCGCTTTTCAAGGCACCCAAAGCGCTTTACAATGCCACTATTCATTCACTCTCACATTCACACACTGGTGGAGGCAAGCTACGGTTGTAGCCACAGCTGCCCTGGGGCAGACTGACAGAAGCGAGGCTGCCATATCGCACCATCGGCCCCTCTGGCCAACACCAGTAGGCGGTAGGGTAAAGTGTCTTGCCCAAACTTCAGTAACCCTACAAACGTCACTGCTGTTTAGTTTTCTGTCTTCATTTATGCTGGAAGTGATAACAGAGCTGTACGTTTTAATTTGTTTCCAAAACCCCGCAGTCAGGACATGCTATATTGTATTTAGATAGAAGCTAGCGAGCTAACTCCCTGCTAACTTCTAACTCCGTTAAATGTCATAAATTCCGTTTTCATGGATGCCTGGATGTTAAACTCAATTGTTACACCTGGTAGAGCAGAACGCTGATCATTTTATTAAAGATGAAAGACTTTAGACAGTTTTTCAACTCTCAGTAATGCCATAGTGATCGTTTGATATATGGACCTGCAGCGGAGTTTAGGCCCAGACACGGCTAGTGACGTCAGACTTAACGACCGGACTGTGACTGCCTCCGGCTCACGAGGCAGCAGCAATGACAACGACAACCGTTTACGGGTCGGAGTCGTAGGTGCTGAGGCGGCGTTCAACACTCTGAGCCAAGCTCCTCCTTCAGGGGGACCAGAGAGTCAAACGCCTCAAAAAGCTGGAGAAACTGCCGGAGCTGCGGCGCCTTCTGAAGAATGGCGTCTATGGCCGCCAACCCAGTGGACACCACTCTGGGGTCCGTGCACCCACAGATGCGCATCATGAGCCGGCTGGTCCGCTGCAGCTCCTCGCCAATCTCGTCCGGACTGTCCGCTGGGTCTGACATGGTCAGATCGTACTGTCACGGCGGGGTGCGCCGGTGTGAAGAATGAGGTAGACCCAGATGCAGAGATGGTGGAGACAAAACGTAGTTTCAAAAATAAAGCGAGCCACTGTGGTTGATTGCAGAAGAAAAAACATGAAACTAGGGAAACTAAGGAGACTATGAACACTGTGTTAACAGAAGGCTGTGACACTCAGTGAAAGAACTATGACAAAACTATGAACACTGAGTAAACTAGGACACACAGTGAAACAATGAGGTAAACCTATGAAAACTGTAGTGAGGTTAACAGACGATCTGACACTGAGTGAGCGAAACACACAGATAACTACAGGGAGTGCAGAATTATTAGGCAAGTTGTATTTTTGAGGAATAATTTTATTATTGAACAACAACCATGTTCTCAATGAACCCAAAAAACTCATTAATATCAAAGCTGAATGTTTTTGGAAGTAGTTTTTAGTTTGTTTTTAGTTTTAGCTATTTTAGGGGGATATCTGTGTGTGCAGGTGACTATTACTGTGCATAATTATTAGGCAACTTAACAAAAAACAAATATATACCCATTTCAATTATTTATTTTTACCAGTGAAACCAATATAACATCTCCACATTCACAAATATACATTTCTGACATTCAAAAACAAAACAAAAACAAATCAGCGACCAATATAGCCACCTTTCTTTGCAAGGACACTCAAAAGCCTGCCATCCATGGATTCTGTCAGTGTTTTGATCTGTTCACCATCAACATTGCGTGCAGCAGCAACCACAGCCTCCCAGACACTGTTCAGAGAGGTGTACTGTTTTCCCTCCTTGTAAATCTCACATTTGATGATGGACCACAGGTTCTCAATGGGGTTCAGATCAGGTGAACAAGGAGGCCATGTCATTAGTTTTTCTTCTTTTATACCCTTTCTTGCCAGCCACGCTGTGGAGTACTTGGACGCGTGTGATGGAGCATTGTCCTGCATGAAAATCGTGTTTTTCTTGAAGGATGCAGACTTCTTCCTGTACCACTGCTTGAAGAAGGTGTCTTCCAGAAACTGGCAGTAGGACTGGGAGTTGAGCTTGACTCCATCCTCAACCCGAAAAGGCCCCACAAG